AAATATCAAGAGTTATGATGATGTCTTGCGAGCTTTTCAATTGATGTATTGTCCTCTCGATCAAGAGGAGAGTCACTGGCAGGATATTCACCAACGGTTTCAGGGCGTAGATGAAGATGTCGGAGATTATATCACTAGTCTTCGTAGACTATTCTCGAGTCTCAATCCCCCTCCCCCCTTACAAAGACAATTGGGAGTTTTAAAATCACAACTTAATGCGGTTTACTTCAAAGAGATGGGTCGCGCTCGATGCACGACTATGGAACAATTCATTGAGGTCGCCAGGTTAATTCAGAGAACCCTTTCCGACACGTCTCGGTACCGACATCCCTCAGCAATCCATACCCCTTCACCAGCCCCCCGTCGCCAGAACCCCAGAAATCGTCATCCCCCCGATACGAACACCCCACAAAATCATGCTCTCGGCGCTCAACCCCTTCGTGCCGACAACGTCCCCCTAGAACAGTACTCCAGAAACCCCTATCTCCCTCCCCCAGATGACAAATATCAACCCCGACCGAACGCATCCCCCAGACAAATTAGCAGTAACACCAGACCCAATTCACCGCCAAGACAACCGACATACGCCGACGTAACCGGACGAACCTCTCCCCACCCCACTTCACCCTCTCCACGCCATATCCCACCCCTTATGAGTATTCCCACAAACCCACCACCCCTAAACTCGAAACCACCCCCATACCCCGAATACCTCAGTTGTTTCCGTTGTCACCAACCTGGCCACTTTGCCAGAGAATGCCCCCTTAACCCACTCGCCCAACAAGCCCTTTTCCCACAATCACCCCTCAACCCACAACAACCAAACCAACCCCCCCGATATTATCCCAATGCTCGCCCTACCCAGTCCTACCCCCGACCATCCCATGGAACGGACCAAAACCCGGGAAACTAAGACACACCACCCCCGCGGGATCACCGATTAATATTACGTTCTCATTATCGTACCCAACCCATCCCCAAGAGAACTCCCGTACGACCCACTCCCGAACCCCGAAATGCGCCATGTCCTGAACCCATCCCCCTCATACCCCCCGAGCCATCCCCGATAACCGTACCATCAACCCCTGAGCCTGCCCCCGCCGCGAGCCCACGTCCCCCTGTATCAATACCGACCCCACACCGAATTATGACCCCAATCTCCGCACCCAATGCCCTCCAGGATAATCAACCCATCCGAGAAACCCTTTTAACAGACCCCAACCCTACTGAATCACCCCCGACTATCCCGGAAACCCCTGTCCCTTCTTCCCCCGGGACCGACCATGACCCTGACGACACCCCCAAACTGTTTACTATCACTCTGAATGACCCAAACAACCCCGATTACATTGATTATGAAGACTTCCTCACCCTTACCATTGACCAACCCTTAGAGAACCGTAAATTCGTCGAAATAAAATTAGGAAAACGTTCGCGGACACCCTGATCGACTCGGGCGCGAATCGATCATTTATCAGTACCAATGCTGGCGTGGACCTCGATAAATACGCCATCGCCACCGGAGAAGAAGTTGTCCACGGAAACGGCGAAACAGTCCCACTAGCCGGCTGCGCTATCATGAGACTAGCCTACTCCGACCGAATCCAACTCATCGCCTTTAGATTGTCAAACGCCCTTGCTTTCGATTGCATCCTAGGAATGGATGCTCTCAACGCGTTAGAATTTACCCTTGAATGCGGCGACACGCACACCCCCGCTAATTACCCCCGCGACCTCACGGCGCAACCCATTAGTGTGTGGTCTACCTCCGACGGTGAAGGCCCCCCACGGAAACCCCTTAACCAACTCAATCCTCCCCCCTGTGATTTAGCCCAATTAGCAGTCATTCCCGAAGATCAACTAAAAACCCTCCGCGAAGAATTCAAGAGTTGGATA